CCATGTGGTTTTGTATTCTTCACATTTGCAACAAGATTAAATTAATATACCATTTGTTCAGCAATTTACTCATCTTTGGACATGTGGGTGACTTCCAGTTCTTTGTTTTTGCAAACAAAGTTGCTCTGGGTGTTGAGAAAGATAGGGGAGAGAGAAATGAAGAAAAGGATGGGAACAGGGGAAAGAGACAGAGGGAGAGAGATGGGGGAGAGGGAAGAGGAGAGAGATGGAGAACAGGGAGAGGGAGAGAGAGAGAGAGGAGTGAGATGGAAAGGAAAGGGGAGAGATATGGAGAAAAAGGATGGGGAGAGGGAGAGAGAGATGGAGGAGCAAGATGGAGAGGAAGGGGGAGAGAGATGGAGAAAAGGGCTGAGGAAAGGGAGAAAGAGAAGGGGAGAGAGATGGGGGAGAGGGAAGAGGAGAAAGATGGAGAAAAAGGATGGGGAGAGGGAGAGAGATGGAGGAGCAAGATGGAGAGGAAAGGGGAGAGAGATGGAGAAAAGGGCTGAGGAAAGGGAGAGAGAGATGGGGGAGAGATGAGAGACAAAAGAGGGAAAGAAGCTCCTTGAACATTGTCTCTGACATTTATTATTTTGTCTTTTGTCTTTTTTGCGAATTTGCAGTGAATGAAGTGAATGAGATGAAAGCTCAGGCTTATTTGCATGGGTGTTTTCTTCATGTTATTGCTTTGGAGTGTTGTTTCCAATGGTGGTTAATGGCTGGCAGTTGTTTTGAGACTTTTCTGTCCTTTGAGCACGTCTCTCTTGAAGGATGGCTTAGCCACACACATGTCACTATATCTCGGGCGTCAGGATCACAACAGAGAGATTTCCTGTGAAGATTCCCCCCCCCCATGCTTTTCTTCTTACTCCAGGCATATTAATTTTGTTCATGCAAATACCTTTCAAATTCATTTAGTTGAGATTAGTTGTTTTATCTTTCATAATCACTCCTATCCCTTCCTTGTTCAGGTAAGACTTCAGTCCCTAGCCATGGAGCTGTGAAAAAGTTCCCTGAGCTCATTGTCTTCTCATTTTTTTGTGGTTTGACCCTTTATTATTCAGGTCACATCAGTTTGGAGTTTATTGTGGTCTATGCCAGGATCTTTCACTTCCTCTAAGGCCAGCTTATACAGGGTGTCTCAAAAGTCTTTGTGCAGCTTTAAGCTGTTAAAGTTTAGCTGCATTAAGACTTTTGGCTCACCTTGGAGTATTTCTGGTCCCATTTGCTCCATACTGTCCTGAGTACTAGTTACTTCTGGGAAGCCCCAAATTTACTTATCACGGGTGGGATGCAGACTTCCTAGACGGGTAGAGTAGGGAAGGCAACGTTGGTACTATGAAGAGAACAGTGAATGTGGAGGCAGAAGCTATGGGTACAAATCCCATCTCTGCCACTGATGACCTTTGTGTCCATGGGCAAGTCAAGTGACCCCTCTGAACTTCAGTTTCTTTCCCTATAGAATGAGGGGCTGGACTTGGTGACTTCAAGGACTCTCCTATCTGATCCTCTACTAAATTTGGTGATTTTTACTTCCAAAATGTCTCTCCCATCTGGCCCCTCCTTTCCACTTACATCCTACTTGAGGCCCTCCTAAGATCTCATTTGAAATAGTACAGAATAGCTTTGGGCTCCCTGCCTCAGATTTTTGCCCACTCTAGTCCAGCCTCCACACAGCTGCAGAAGTGATTTTCCTAACCTCAGGGTTTCCTATTACCTCTCAGGTCAAACTTTCTCCCCCCATTTCTCCATATATTCCTTTTCTTCTCCTCTTCCTTTCCTTTTTTAAGATCATCATCAAGAATAAGATTATTCTTATTAAGAATTTTTATTAAGAATGGCTAGCTCCGCAAAGCATTTCACAAATATTATCTCATTTGATCCTTACAACAACCCTAGGAAGGTAGGTGCTATTATGACCCCCATTTTACAGTTTAGGAAACTGAGGCAGACAGGAATGAAGTGACTTGCCCAGGGTCACACAGCTAGGAAGTATTTGAATTCAGGTCTTCCTGACTTCAGGCCCAGCACTCTGTGCAGTATACCATCTGGATTCCCAATGACCTGTATACTCCAGGGGACACATGTATCATCTCCTCATATTAAAAAGCAAACATTTCAGCTTGGTTTAGTACATTATGATTGCTAGCTCATAATTACCTTTTTGTTTTACTTGACTTCTATATTTTTACTTCAAAGATTCTGTATGACTCTGGTCTTTTCATAAGGAATGCTCGGAAGTCCTCTGTTTAACTAAAGGGGGCATCCCCTCAATTTCCAATTCTTTGCCACCACAAAAAGCTGCTATGAATATTTTTGTACATATAGAGCCTTTTCTTTTTTATTGATCTCTTTGGGATACAGACCTAGTAGTACTGTTGCTGGGTCAAAGGGAATACAGAGTTTTATAGTCCTTTGGGCATAGCTCCAAATTGCTTTCTAGGGTGGTTAGATCAGTTCACAACTCCACCAACAGTACTTTAGTGTCCCAATTTTCCCACATCCCCTCCAGCATTTGTCATTTTCTTTTTCTGCCCTATTAGCCAATCTTATAGGTGTGAGATGATACCTCACAGTTTTAATCTGCATTTCTCTGATCACTAGTGATTTAGAACATTTTTTCATATGACTATAGATAGCTTTGACTTCTTCTGAAAGCTACCTGTTCATATCCTTTGACCAATTATCAATTGGGGAATGACTTGCATTTTTATAAATTTGACTTAGTTCTCTATATGTTTAAGAAATGAGGCCTTTATCAGAAAAACTTGCTGTAAAATATTTTTCACTGTTATGGTTACTGTGTATTTCTCTCCATCCTGTTTTCCCCCCATTTATCTCTCTCTCTCTCTCTCTCTCTCTCTCTCTCTCTCTCTCTCTCTCTCTCTCTCTCTCTCTCTGTGTGTCTCTCTCTCTCTGTGTGTCTCTCCCCCTCCCTTCCCCTCTCTCCCTCCCTCCCTGTCCTTTCACTCCATCCCTCCTCAAAAGTGTTTTGCTTCTGACCACCACCTCCCTCAATCTGCCCTCCTTTCTATCACACACTCCCCTTCTCTTATTCCCTTCCCCTCCTACTTCCCTGTAGGGTAAGATAGATTTCTATACCCAACTGAGTGTGTACGTTATTCCTTTTTTGAGCCAGTTTTGATGAGAGTATGGTTCTCGTGCTCCCCCCCCATCCCCTCTACTATATAAGCTCTTTTGTACCTCTTTCATGTGAGATAATTTACCCCTTTCTTCCTCTCCCTTCCCCCTTCTCCCAGTGAATCTCTCTGTCACCACTTAATTTTATTTTTTTAGATTTCGTCCCATCATATTCAACTCCCACCCGTACCCTCTATCTATGTTTACTCCTTCTAACTGCCCTAATAACGAGAAAGTTCTTAGCAATTACAAATATCATCTATCCTTGTCAGAATGTAAATAGTTTAACCTTATTGAATCCCTTTTAATTTCTCTTCCTGTTTACCTTTTTATGCTTCTCTTGAGTCTTGTATTTAAAAGTTAGATTTTTTTTTTCAGTTTTGGTCTTTTCATCAGGAATTCTTGAAAGTCTTCTATTTCATTAAATATCTATTTTTTTCCCCTGAAGAATTATACACAGTTTTGCTGGTTAGGTGATTCTTGGTTGTGATCCTAGCTCCTTTGTCCTCTAATATCATATTCCAGTCCCCTCTGGTCCTTTAATGTAGAAGCTGCTAAATCGTGTGTTATCCTGACTGTGGCTTGAGGATATTTGAATTGTTTCTTTCTGGCTGCTTGAGATAGTTTGTCCTTGATCTGGGGGATCTGGAATTGGCTATAATATTCCTGGGAGTTTTCATTTCGAGATCTCTTTCAGGAGGAGATCAGTGGAATCTTTCAATTTCTGTTTTACCCTCTGGTTCTAGGATATCAGGGCAATTTTCCTTGATAATTTCTTTAACTATAATGTCTAGGCTCTTTTTTTTCCTTTATCATAGCTTCTAGGTAGTCCAGTAATTCTTAACATGACTGCCACGTAGTCTAATAATTCTTAAATTATCTCTCCTCAATCTGTTTTCCAAGTCCGTTGTTTTTCCCAATGAGATATTTCACATTTTCTTCCATTTTTTCATTCTTTTGATTTTGTTTTATTGTTTTTTTGATGTCTCTTGGAATTGTTAGCTTCCAGTTATGCAGTTCTAATTCTTAAGTAATTATTTTCTTCAGCGAGTTTTTATACCTCCTTATCTGTTTGGTCAGTTCTACTTTTTAATGGGTTCTTTTCTTCAGTGAATTTTTGTAAAAAGCCTCTTACTATTTGGCCTATTCTGCTTTTTGAGGTATTATTTTCTTCAATATTTTTTTTATGCCTCCTTTACCAAGCTGTTAATCTTTGTTTCTTTCTTACATCACTGTCATTTCTTTTCCCAGTTTTCCCTCTACTGCTCTTATTTGATTTTAAAAATCCTTTTGGAGCTCTTCGAAGAATTCTTTTTGGGGGCCTGAGACCGATTCACATTTTGATTTGAAGCTTTGCATAGAGCAGTTTTGACTTTGTTGTCTTCTGAGTTTGTGTTTTGACCTTCCCTGTCACCATAGTAACTTTCTGTGGTCAGATTCTTTTTGTTGTTGTTTGCTCATTTTCCAGCTTATTTCTTGATTTTGAACTTTATGTTAAAGTTGGCCTCTGCTCATCCCAAGCTTCAGGGTTTTTGTGCTGCAGTTTTCAGTGCTTCCATTTCTACCTCCATCCCTTTTGCTGTTTATTACTCTTAAGGGAGCCAAGACTTTGAACGGTAATTTGTGTGAGAAAGAATTAGGAAGTGGACTAAGAGTTGGCTGAGAAAATGGACCTTCCACTGGGTTATGGTCTCCTTTGAAATTTAAAAGGTCGGGACAGGACTTATTTGAGGGGGGGAACAGCAAAGCAGGGGGACAGTCTTTACTGGCTGTGGAGGAAGATCCCTTCACTAGGTTAGTGCATGCAAAGTACTTGGGAAATTTCAAGTGCTGGCCTTGTGATTATTATTCCTCTGTAGCACTTCAGATGGGCATGAAAAGACCTTGACGATAATGAATGTTTACTGCCCCCACGCGGACCCTGAGAAGCCTGAACGGTTGGTCTACAAGCTACGTTTCTACCGACTCCTGCAGCTCCGAGCTGAAGCTCTCCTGCAGGCAGGCAGGTGGGAACCAATCCGGCAACAGGAGGTAGTGGGAGACAGTGCAGAGAGGTCTAGAATTGGCTGCCTCAGGCTCTAGGCCTGGCTGTCTTCCTTAGGCCCCTGGCAACCTTGGGCAGATTCTTTCTTTTTTTCTGGATCTTGGTTTCCTCATTTATAAAATAAGGGTTAGTAGATGCTCTAGATGCTCCCTGAGGTTCCTTCCAGTGAGCAACCTTGGCCAAGTAGCTGCTCTGGGCCCACTGCCGACCTGCCTGCTGAGTTGGGAGCCCTCGAGGAGTTACTACTGGCCAGCCCCCTCCCCACGCAAGAGAAGGGACACGTCCCAAGCTTGTCCATTCATTCATTCATTCCAGGAACCTTTATAAAGCGCTCCACGCTGGAGGAGAGTCACTGCAGACAAGAAGTGGCCCCTCTGAACCTCAGGGTCCAATAAGGCAATGAGGCACAGATAGGCAGCTGTAATCTACAGTATTAAACACTATAGGCATCCGAGAGCTGAGAGCTGAGGGAGACTGGGGAGGGCAGTGCAGGCTTCCTAAAGGTAGTGAGTAACTGGAGCTGGCTTTACAAGAAGAGGGAGGACGGAAGGCATTTGAGGGCCAGGAAGTAGCCTGTCCAGGAATGGAGGAGGGCCCAAGGAAGGCTGAGCCACTGCTTTGGTCAGAGCTTGAGATTTACAAAGCACTTTCCTCACAACATTGGTGGGGGTGGGGACCATCAGAGGGGGTAGGGGAGATGAAGGAGCGGGAACTGTGGTCATCTTCAGTTGTTACTGGAGAATGGAAGCCCAGAGAAGGGAAAGGCCTTGAGATGGTTGAGGGCTCCTCACAGGCCATTTTGGCTCATTCTGTGAGGGGAGGCAGGGGAAGAGCCTTTACCCTTGTACCACAGAGGGAAGAAGAGGAGGAGGAGAGAGAGGAGGAATTTGCCCACGGCCATATAGCTAGTAATTGGCAGAGCCAAGCCTCTCCCCCCATGCCTCAGAACTCCCATCTCAGGGCTCTTGCCCCTGCCTCTACCCTACCACATGGCTGCTTCCTTCCCACAATCTCAAACCACCTCTTGTGGCTGATGGACGCTTCTTCTTTCCCAGCCACGTGATCATTCTGGGCGATGTGAACACGTCTCACCGGCCTTTGGACCATTGTGACCCTGATGATCTGGTGAGGATTGCCTTTCAGCTAAGCGTGCCGCGTCTGTCTTAATCCATGTCTGTGGACACACCGTCAGCTATCCTTTTCTTCCTCTCTACCCTGTTGATCATGGAAGTATAGAATTAGACTGGGAGGGGCAGACCTTAACTAACATCCAGGCTCTGAGATGATGTCACACAGCTAGGACTTAAACCCTGCTCCTCTGACTCCAGAGACACCAGGGCTCCTAGTGATCCATCAGTTGATCTCTCTGGTTTTGAAGGCCACTTCCAGCTCTGACGTTCTTTGATTATAGGCATCTTCACCTTTCTGTAAAATGAGGGATTGGACTGTAATTGCTAAGACGCCTCCAGCTCTGACATGCAGTGTTCCTATAAAATTAAGCCTATTTTCATGCAAAAAAAAATTGCCACATAGAATCAGTATTTTTTTAATGCAGACATTTTAGATGGAAAATATATTTTAGAAGGAAAAAGCATTGGTGTTTCTCACAAACCCAGAGGCCCTCTTTGTGGCATAGGGTGCCCAGCTTAGGAAGCAGTGTCTGGTTAGCAGGTCTGGTGGTTGGGTGCCCTGGAGGGCATAGAGCGAGGCATTCACAGCTGACGGGCGTTCTTGACTTGCAGGATGGCCGGAGTGAAGGTGGTGTCACTCAGCAGGCAGTGAAGTTAGACAGAGATAGATGCTGTTTCTGTGTAGGAATCATGGCAGAGCTGGAGATGCGGGCAGGGACCAGACTGAGGAGGGCCTTGTATTCACAGAACGCTAGACTCCCAGAGACAGAAAAGACCCCAGAAGCCATTGAACAGGAATCCCTTCTACAGTGTCCTTGCAGGGGAATCCACTGCCACTCTGGGAGAGAACGCTAGGGACAGGGATCTCACTACCTCCTGAAGCAGGCCATTCCACTGTCAGGCCCTTCTCATTGCCTCTCCGAGGTTTCTACCCATTGCTCGCAGGCCTAGAATTTCATTCACACATTCATTTGTTCAAGCACCTACGGCTAAGGAGACTACTGCGTGCCGTGCTCTGTTGTTGGTGCTGAGGGGGCAGGGATTCAAAGATGCTAACGAATGTATTTGCAGGGTCACAGACCATGCCGTGTTGAGGCTTTGAGGGTTAAAAACCTTCACCTAGAAATTGGAAAGGAGGCCAGGGGAGCCCAGGGATTCCTTTCTGGGTGAGGCTGAAGACTAGAAATGTCTGTAGCCTGCTGTGCAGCACCCTGGAAAGTGCAGTGTGAGCATTGTTCTTCTCATTTTACAAAGGAAACCAGGGCCCAGAAAGAGGAAGGGTTTGCCTGAAGTTACAGTTAGTGGGGAGCCCGTGAAGGCCACCTTGAATTGGGCCTTGTGGGACCTCCCCTCTTCTCTGTGCCTCATTTTCGTCCTTTGTAAAAAGTCCCTTCCAGCTCTGACGTTCACTGATCCTGAGTCCTCTTCTGAGGCTTTCCCCCCCCCTTTCCAAATAGAGGTATTATACTCGGTTCTTTCTTCGGCTCTTGTTGGCTCTGACATTCTCTGGCTCTCGATTGCCTACCCCAGGCATGCTTTGAAGAGAACCCCGGACGCCAGTGGCTCACAGAGTTCCTGTGGCAGCCCGAGAGGGACGGTGGGCTGTTCGTTGACAGTTTCCGTCACTTCTACCCAGCCAAAGTCGGTGCCTTCACCTGCTGGTCTACCGTTACAGGGGCACGCCTCACCAACTACGGCACCCGCCTCGACTATATCCTCGGTGACAGAGCTCTGGTGCTGGGGGAGTTTGAGGACTCCTTCCTCATGCCTGAGGTGAAGGGCTCAGACCACTGCCCCGTTGGGGCCATCCTGAGGTCAGAGCTGATCCCTGCACCCCGATGTCCCCCACTCTGTACCCAGTACCTGCCAGAGTTTGCTGGGCGGCAGCAGAAACTCTCCCGGTTCCTGGTCAAACTGGACCCAAACCCTCCAGAGCCCACCTTGCCCCAGCCCCAAGGAGAAAAGAATGGTGCGCTGCCCAAGAACCGGGCTAAAAGAATCGGTGGGGACCTAGGCCGAGGCCAGCTGAGCCTCCTGAGGTTCTTCCAGGCAGGCTGTCCCCCAGAAAAACCCCTCGTCACTGGAGCCCAGGAGCCTGAGACTGATCCAGCCAGCCAGGACCCCAGGGTGGTGGCACCCCCACCCCCTGAACCAGGCGAGGGCCAGGCAGCATTTTGGAAGGCTGTTCTGAAAGGCCCGCCTCGTCCTCCCCTGTGCAAGGGCCACAGGGAGCCCTGTGTGCTGCGGACAGTGAGGAAAGCCGGGCCCAACTTTGGCCGGCAGTTCTATGTGTGTTCACGGCCTGTGGGCCACACCAGCAACCCTGCTGCTCGCTGTGACTTCTTTCTCTGGGTCTCTGGGAAGAACCCAGCCACTCACTGAGGGGCCTGCCGCTAGGCGCTTCCTCTTTGCTCCACTCCCTTAGGGGGTGGTCCTAGGTTATGGAGTCAGCATCTTTCAGTGGCTGTTTGCAAAGGCCCAAGTGGGGGCCCCAGAGCAGGCGTCAAGGGGCCTAAAAGAGGCTTAGGGGAAAGAAGGAAGCTGCTGCTAACCTGGGTCTGGTTAACTTTTTTAAAAAGATAACGTTCAGTTTCCCATTAATAAAGTTTGGATCTTGGGTGTTTCCCAAAGCTGCCCCCAGTTCTGTTCCCTACGACTCAGGGCTCTCAGGTAGATTGTGTAGGTGTGCTGTGGAAGTGACTTAATCCCATAGCACCCCTGGAGAGGGAGGGAGGTCGCCTGTCTTTTCCTCAGGGCATGGTAGAGTTCTCATTGGATCTGAAATAGCATCGGGGCCACGCCTTTGCTTTCTCAGGGAAAGGCCTGGTCTACATGGTGTGGTAGGTCCTGATGATGGAGCTGTCTCTCTGATCTGTGGGAGGTGTTTTTGTCCGACTGACTGACTGACTAGTCGGGGTGAGGAGCAGGGGATCCTGAGAGGGGGCCAGCATGCAGGGGCTCAGAGGGCACTTTCAGGGGAAGTAGCTGTAACTTGGGGTCAGAGTCGTGCCCAGGGCCCCAACATTGCTGCCAGGCACCAGAATGCCATCTTGGGGGTTGCCTTGAGGCCAGTATGCCAACCAGCAACTGTCAGTAGGGGCTCAGTACACAGAGTGCCCCAATCCCCAGTTTTCATCTTGGACCCCTAATGAGGGCTCAGGAAAAGGAGACAGGACTGAGCATGCCTGTTCCTCACTCCCAGCATGGCGCTCTGCCCGCGGGAGCTGGCGTCTTCCATCCTCTGTGTCTGCTGAGTCCAGACTAGCAGAGGTCGAGCCCCGCAGCAATCATAGTGATTCTCCTGAGGGTGAGATGCCCCCAGGAGGCCATCGGAGGGGAGTGTCCAGCATCGCCCTTGCTGGGCGTCAGCATCCTCTGAAATGAGGCTGGCAGACTAGATGGGCTTCATTCAGGGCCTGTGGTGGGGGCAGCATGTGCAAAAAAAAGTAAGTAGGTCATGTGAGGAGGGAAGTAACAGTAACTTTCTTGAACGATAGGTTTAAGAAAGGCTTCAGGAGTCGGCATCAGAGCTGAACCTTGAAGCAAATGAAAGATTCCGAGGGGAGTGAGGTGGATGGGGCAGCATGGAGAATGCCCTGTGCAAAGCCATGGAGCTGGGAGGTGCCCTCATGAAGGGCAAAGATAAGAAATAAGGCCGGAAAGGTAGCTGGGAACCAAATTATGAGTGGCCTTAAATCCCCAATGAGAGGTTCACGTTCATCTTACTGGCATTATGGTGTCACTGAGAATTTTTGACTAGGGGAGTGATGCATTTGAGTTTGACAGGATGAGGAAAGATGGATTGATGAGGGGGGAGACCCAAGGCAGGCTTTTGCACTGTAACTGCCAGGGAGGGCTAAAGTCCCGTCTGTGCAAAGAGAGTTCTAGTAACAAAGAGCTGGAAGGAAGCCGCGTGCCCTTGGTGAGAGATGGCCAGACACCTTGTGCTATGTCAGGGTGAGGAGCACATTTCGCTCTGGGATTGAGAGAAACTTGGCAGGTGCATGAACTGAAACAGGAAAACCATTTCCCTGACAACTCCAGTAATGTGAAGGCTGTGCATTATTTTGATGGACTAGACTTGGGGCCGTGATGATTCATTGAGCATCTCGGGGGCAGCGATGCAGGCCTCCTGGATGGCAGGTGTGGAGTGAGGGGTGCATTTTCACACACCGTCAGCATGTTGGTTTTGCTTGATTGGAATTACTGTATTGGCTGCTCTCCAATCGAGAGCCCTTTGGTTGGAGGACAGGGAACATCATGAGGAAGTGACAGTGATGTCTTGTATCTTTCTTAAAGGAAGGCTTTTACAGCAGCCCAAGTGAGAGGTCAGCAATGCAGATGATGGGAGGGAGGGTGAGCCGGAAGGGAAGGATAACTTCCCTGGTTGAGTGAAAAGACGGTAAGGGCCTCACCAGAATTAGGAAGGGCGTGGCAGGGGCTGGGGGGAGGGGGGCATAATGTTCTGTTTGGAACCTGTTGAGTCCGAAATGGCCATGAGACATGCAGGCAGAGGTGCCAGGCAGGTGTTTGGCGATCCAGGCCTCGGCTTCAGGACTGGGCCTAGAGCTAGGGATTTGGGAGTCACCTGCACAGAAGTCATAGGTGAATCCAAGGATCTGATGAGATTGCCAAGAGAGGAGGGCCCAAGACCGAGGAGGATGTTGGGCCAACAGAGGAGACTGAGACGGTGCAGGCAGACGGAGGAGGAAGAGCATGGAGCCACAGAGGGCGGGTGATGGGCTTAGAAAGGTCGATTAGAACAAGGACGGAGGAAAGGCTGATGTTTGCTCCCCTGTGATAATTTACCACCTTGAGGGGTGAGGGCTACAGGGGAATTCCCACTTGTTTTCTTGGCCACATGCTTCAGGGGTTCCCCAGTCTTATCCATGTGTATGTTCCCCCCAATGGGGTCTCATCCTCTCCAGTTCTTGGTAAACTCTCGTCTTGTTCCAGAGATAACCCGGTGTGTTGGGGGCCCTTCTCTAGACCTTTGACCATCTTCTGGCTGTCACTGCGGCATTTGGGCTGGTGATTGCCTGCTCCAGCTACAGCCCACTTGCCAATCAGACGTTGTCTGGGTCATCATTGGTAACATGCTACTTAAGCCTGTCTTGAGGCTCTCTCCCATTGGAGTATAGCTGGGCAGCCAGGTGGCACGGTAAATAGAGTGCATCGCCTGGATCAGGAAGACCTGAGTTCCAATCTGGCCTCAGACACTTCCTACCTGTGTGCCCCTGGGCAAGTCACTTCACCCTGTTTGCCTCAGTCTCCTCATCTGTAAAATAAGCTGGAGAAGGAAATGGCCAAGCACTCCGGTATCTCTGCCGAGAACACCCCAAACAGGGTCACAGAGAGTCAGGAATGAGTGAACCACAACAAAATCTGATTTCCCATAAGCCTCATTTTAGAATCCTCCCAGCTGGGCCTCAGTTTTGTCCTGTGTAAAATGAGTTGTTTATACGGAGTGCTTGCTACGCTTCCTTTCTGCTCTGACCTTCTGTCTCTTTGACTGAAGGCCCAGGGCAGGCTTAGGAATCCATCTGTGTTTGAACGTCACCTTCGTCTCACCTGGGTCATTTGGTGCCACCTCCCACATACTGTATCTCCCCCCCTTCCCCTGCCACTGAGTAAACAGACATCTGGCTGTAGGATGCGGTTTATTATCTATGAACTATCAAATGTGTGTATGAATTCTTAAACGAGTGGCTGTCGGGGAAGCGCACTGCAAATCTTAAAGCATTACAGAAATGAACATGATGCTGATGAGAGACTGAGGGGGGGCCAGTTCACTCAGCCCATGCCAAGACCAGACGTGCCCTGGCAGGGGCCGGGAGGCCAGAGCAGCCCGTATCTCCCCCCTCCCCCTTCCAGGCCATCAGGCAAACACAGTGACATACTGAGGGCCCATGTTTCCAAAGTAGGAGCGTTCCCACTCGCTCATGAGGTCAAAGTGCACGGGACGGTGGCAGAAGTTGCAGGCAGCAGAGGAGACATCCTGGAGGGGCAAGCCCACTTCAGCCCAGGCCTCAAGCAGTTTCTCTGTGAGGGGGAGAGCCTCAGTCAGACATCTGTATAGACTCCTGTTGTCCCGGCAGGAAGGGAGCTTAGCTAGCACTCAGTCCCATCCTCCCTGTCACCCCCAGGCCCATCCCACCACTGATGGGCCTGAGATCTGGCCTGCTCCTTGCCCACCGCCCTAGGGGCTCGCCACATTGGGGCTGGCCTTTTCCTAGCTTGAGCCGTCCACTACCCTCAGCTTCTGTCACAGGCCAGGAGGATATGTTCGTGGCCTCATTTTACAGATGAGGACGCAGCTCTAGAGCAGGGAAATGATTTGGGCTCATTTCCCATTCTTGATTTTACAGAGAGCCAAACTGAGGTTCAGAGAGAAGGCCATGACCCAGGCTCCACAAGTGACAGAGCCAGATCTCAACCCAGGGCCGGCGCTTTTTAAAAAAAAACAATTCAACTGTCAAGTACCTGGTTTTTCTCCCTCCCTCCTCCTCCATCTCACTGAAAAAAGGAAAAAACAAATGAGAGTAGTCAAGCTAAAACGGATGTCTGCAGTGTGCCAGGCAAGCTGAGGGCTGATCCAGGCCATAAGGCCTCTGGACTCGGGGCTCCCAGCCCAGTTCTGCCCTTGACTTCTGGTGGGACCCTCATTGAGGCCCTTCTCTTTGGGCCTCAGCTTTCCCCTCTGTAAAATGAGTACACTGCCTTGTTAAACTCCCTTCTGTTCTGAAGGTCTGTGATGCTGAGAACCTTCCTCTCTGGGAATGTCACCCAATGGTCTCTCCTGCCCTAAGATCTTCCAGTATCTCATTGTAGAATGGAAGCGCCTGGCCCAGCCGCACTGGTGAAAGGGCCATCACCCCAGAGATTGGGCCTCCACCCAGATGAAATCACAGACCCAGAGTCTCTGAGGTCCCCCCCCCCTCCAGCCCCGAACTGTGGCGATTCCCGCTCTTGTGTTCTGGAATATGGCACTGTCCCCCATGCCTGATCTCCGTCTGGTAAGATCCTGCCCTGGCCTCTCTCTGTGCCTTCCCCGCTCATTCTCTGCAGGTTTGTCTCTCCATCTCTTTAACATAATAACATATCACATCACCTAACCAGGGTGTCCCCAAAGTCTTAAGCTTCCAACTGCACTAAGACTTCTGGGCCACCCAGGATCTTGCTTTAGCTCTGTGAAGCAGGCACTGCAAGGCCTCTTATCCTCATTTAACAAAGGAAGAAACTGAGGCAGAGAGGCTGACTTTCCCATGGTCCCAGAGCTAGTGGCAGAAGCAGCATTAGGACCCAAGTCAGTTTGCTTAACATCCAGTCCCCTTTCCGTCATGTTCTTCCCCTTTCTCCCCAGGCCTGCCTGTAGCTCCCCATCCGTGTCTGCCTCTTGGCCCATGGCCTTCTCAATGTCTGTGTGTGTCCGTCTGTCAGTGCTCCTTTATTGTAGTCCAAGGACCCAGACTGGAATTGCAACTCTTCCACATACTAACTGTGACCCTGGACACTCATTTAACCTCTTGTCCTCAGTTTCCTCATCTGTAAAATGGGGATCTCACAGAGTTGTTGGGGGGACAGTGCTTAGTCAATATGTGAGTTATGATGTATTTTATTGAAGACCAAGTGTAGAGAGGCCCAGCCATGCAGAGACGGGCCAGGACAGGATTTTAACAGATAGACCTCGGTTCCTCATCTGGGAAATCAGGGTACTGGGCTCTATCTAGAGCTCTGAATGTCCTTTCAGCTCAAAATCCATTATCATTTATCTCCCCCTTCCCCTCCCTTCCCCTCCTGTCTCTCTGTCTCTCTATCTCTCTCTCTCTCTCCCTCTCTTTTCGTCTCTTTCCCTTTCTGTCTCTCTCCCCCCCTCACTCTGTCTCTGTCTCTTCCTGCCCCCTACTCTGTCTCTATCTCCCCCTCCCTCTCCTCTCCCTCCCCTCTCCCTCCGCTCCCTCTCTTCTCTCTCCCTCTCTTTTCCTCTCTTTCCCTTTCTGTCTGCCTTTCTCTCCCCCCACTCTCTCTGTCTCTCCCTCCCCCTACTCTATGTCTCTATCTCCCCCTCCCTGTCCTTGCCCTCTGCCATCCCTCTCCCTCCGTTCCCTCTCCTCTCTCTCTCTGTCTCTCTCTCCCTCTGCCCTCCCTCTCCCTCTGCTCCCTCTCCTCTCTCTTTCCCTCTCTTTTCCTCTCTTTCCCTTTCTGTCTGCCTTTCTCTCCCCCACTCTCTCTGTCTCTCCCTCCCCCTACTCTATGTCTCTATCTCCCCCTCCCTCTCCTTGCCCTCTGCCATCCCTCTCCCTCCGTTCCCTCTCCTCTCTCTCTGTCTCTCTCTCCCTCTGCCCTCCCTCTCCCTCCGCTCCCTCTCCTCTCTCTTTCCCTCTCTTTTCCTCTCTTTCCCTTTCTGTCTGCCTTTCTCTCCCCCCACTCTCTCTGTCTCTCCCTCCCCCCTACTCTATGTCTCTATCTCCCCCTCCTTCTCCTTGCCCTCTGCCATCCCTCTCCCTCCGTTCCCTCTCCTCTCTCTCTGTCTCTCTCTCCCTCTGCCCTCCCTCTCCCTCCACTCCCTCTCCTCTCTCTCTGTCTCCCTCTCCCATCCCTCTCCCTCCCCCACTCTCTACTCTCTCTCTGTCTCCCTCTCCTCTCTCCTTTCCTCTCCTCCCTCTGCTCTCCCGGCTTTGTAGATGTGAACTGTTGGTCATTGGCCTACACTCTGTCCCCTGTCCCCCATCTCCCAGTTACTCTTCAGTAGCTAGACTGTCAGAGTCTGGACTCAGTCAAGTCTCTTCTCTCCGGGGCCCACCATTCTTCTTGGAGACCCCAATTAAGGAGAAGAGAACTCAGGCCCAGGAGGGACGTGTCAGGGCCAGGACAGAAGTAGGCAGGGAAGCTAGAAAGCCTGGGTGGGGAGTGCAGACTTACCCACAAAGTAGTCCATCATCTGGGGTGTGTGGTGAGGAGAGGGTGCCAGCCTCAGCAGCTCCTCACCCCTGGGCACCGTGGGATAGTTGATGGCCTGCACGTAGATGTTGTGCTTGGAGATCAGGAGGTCACAGATTCGGCTGTTGAGGGCAGCATCCCCAACCTGAGACCATAGCAGAGGACAGACATATGCTTAGTCCCCCTGGTCCCTTCTGTCATCAAATCTCAGATTCCTGGAGCAGCCCCAAGAAGTGGTCATCCAGATTTTCTTGGAGACCTCCAGGGATGGGGAACTCACTATCTCCCAATGTAGCCCATTCCACTTTCAGACAATCTGTCTCTGCTCCTAGCTCTACCCTCTTGGGCCAATCAGAACAGGCCTACGCCTTCTTCCACAGGATAGTTTGACAGTGACGTCTGCATGCCTAGAACTTCTGTCTGTTGCTTTGAGTTCTGCCTACCCTTTCCAGAGGAAGAAACTAAGTTGCAAAGACAGGAAGTG